CTAACAATTTTGTATTCATAATTTGGATTATTTTTCTTTAAAAGGAGCCAACACAAATTGTATACACTACAAAACCTACAGATCCCAGATTTCTCCCTTAGAGTAAATCGTCGATTATTAGATGCCATTCTTAGCACCACGAGAATTAGTGAATGCAGGAAAGAAGTGCTAAAGAGATGTTTTCCTCTCAGATTCACTTTCTTGTGCACTGTGCAGTTGGGTGTTTGTGGTAGGAGGTTAAGGAGGCAGGTATCATACAAAACCTAGCAGAGCAGCTCTTAGGGAAGATTTTGTCTAGAACAGTGATTCCCAATGTGGGGCACATGCCCCACAGGGGGGCAATTTGATTTTTAAGAGGGACAATTCCAGAATGAGTTATTAACAGTGAATTTTTTGCATTTCTTATGGTTCTAGGGGTCTCATATACAGTATATAAATATTTATTTTGACATAATTATGCATTTTAGTTCTTTATTATTGTTTTGAAACTTTGCTATTTTTTCATATCACTTCGTATCATTTTTTTAAACAATTTCTTAGTGATTTCTTCCTCAGTACTTTAACTGTCCTTTTGTTCTTTTATTTTTCTCTTTCATAAATGCCATGTTCTTTGAAAGCTTGTTTAAACCAAGTTAATGGCCTTTTAGGCTTCCTCTGCATGAATAGGAGTTCACTTTTTGAATAATAAGAATTATATGTCACGGGGGGGGGCATCAGGATTTTAGAGATGCTTAGGTGTGGTCTGGCCATAAAAAAAAGGTTGGGAATCACTGGTCTAGAATGAGCCCTGATTTTTGTTTACTTTTGTCAAGAATGTGGAGACGAAGAGAGGGGAGAGTAGGGAAGAAATCCTACTCTTAAAAGTCCCAGGGACTGTCAGGCCTACTTAGGTGTTTGCCATCTCTCTGATATTAACCATTTTCTTGTGTATGATTTAGGAAATGTCATTAAATTTCCTTTGACTAAAACTTTTTGTCTTGTGGATCAGTTATCTTACTCAAATCTTCTTTTCACTATTTTAGAATTGTATACCATGCAAATGTTGACAAGTAACAATTATGTGGGTTGGGATCTTCTAGATGTCAGATTGAGAGCTTGTTTTTTGGTCTGCATGCATAGAGGAAACTAGGAAATACAATCTCTCACTTAACTTGGGTGAAAGGGAAGTAGCTCTCTTTTATTAATAATCTCCCAAGGATAAAAGCGAATTTTATAAACAAACACATTCTGATTAGCTCTGTGGTTTTAGTTTTATCATAGTCTGTCCCTTTCCTGAAAAGTATTGAAATGAATATTTGGAAGATGGAAATTCCACTAAGAAAAATCTTTTTTAGTCCAGAAAGTATTTTTTAAAAATAGTTTCCATTGGAACTGCTTTGCTGTAAAAAAGTTACTGGAATTATTTTTTTTTAATTTATGCTGCTAAAACCATTCACTTCTGAGAAGTCTTTCTTGACTCCATCTGAGTTAGAAGTTTGTTTCCCCTGGTATTCCTCTTCTGAAGTAACTTGCAAATAGTTTTACTTGGCTTACATTAAGAATTTTACCAACAACAATGAATAAGATACCCTATACTAAAAGCAATGGAAACTATAGTGTTATAACCTGACTAGAGGCCCAGTGCATGACATTCATGCACTGGGGCTGGGGTTCCTCAGCTGGGCCTGCACCCTCTCACAGTCCAGGACCCTCTGTCCTTAGCACTGCCGTGGAGGTGGGAAAGGCTCCCACCACTGCTGCTGTGCTCACTAGCAGTGAGCCCAGCTTCTGGCTGAGCCATGCTCCCACTGTGGGAGCACACTGACCACTGGGGCGGGGGTGGGGGGGTGGGGCGGGGGGAGAGGCAGCTCCTGCATTGAGCATCTGCCCCCTGGTGGTCAGCGTACATCATAGTGACTGGCCATTCCGCTGTTCAATCGATTTGCATATTAGCCTTTTATTATCTAAGATTATACACAATTTTTTATGTTTTCCAAAATAATTGGAACTGATCAATAAGATAGTGAAAGAATGTTGGTAAGAACTACTTAAGCTAAAGTATGAGAAGAGATGTTCGCTCAAAATTCTATTAAAAGAAAAAAGTTATCTGCCTGCACAGTGTTTTTAACTTTCCAATCCTTTTCTTCAGTACATATGCAGTACTTTTGACAGAATTGATTCCCAGCCTCTGAGATGACACCCCAAAGTTCTATGCCTTCCAGTATTCGTTCCCTTGTTTAGTCCCCTCCTTTAGTGAATCAGAGACAGCCTTGTGTGACCAGTAGAACCCAGTGGAAATGATGTTGAGTGATTTCTGAGGCTACATTATAAGAGGCCTTACAGCTTCTGTCTCGGTCTCTTAGCACACTCATTCTTGAAGACCTCAGAAAAATTTGTGAAGCCCTACTACCCTAAGACCACCTTGGTAGAGAGATCACATGGAAAGGCCCTGAGATTTCATATAGAATGATTTCTGGACATAGCATGGAACAGAGTTGTCCCCAATGAGCCCTGCCCACATTGCAGATTCATGAGCAAAATGAATAATCATCATTTTACATCATTAAGTTCCAAGGAGTTTGTTAAGCAGCAATAGATAATGGAAACACTCCTCCCCTCCCTTTCCTTTGCTTGTAAAGTGTTTCCTTAGGTGAGCACAAAGTGAGCAAGTACATGTCAGGTCAACTCAAGAATAGGGGCTTTCCAGCAGTTGTTGCTGGGCAATTGACTTATTTATGCTGCGGCGACATACCTCTTCAGGACTGCATTCTGAGAGGTAGCTATGTTACTCTTGTGGTTAAGACACACAGGGGTTCCAGTCCATCTCCCCGGCCTATGGCCAGCTGCAAACCCACAACATAGCTGTTTAATATACATGAATATATCTATTAAGCTGAGCATGGAGGGTAGCTTTCTATAGAAAAGAAGTCACAAAAGTCTAAGTAGCAAGAGGGGTATAGGCAGAAGGAGCAACCAACTTCTGTCTGGACTCTGCAGAGTTAGAGCTGCCAGCACACGATTCCTTTTCAGTACCTTCTCTCCAACCGTGTTTGTAACATGGAACTCACCCCCACAGATACAGGGGTGTACACTTGACCAATGGATAACATTCTATTATTGATTAGCCTGGAATTTATCTGGTTATCTTGGTTGAGAATCTGAATGAAGATATAGATTGTAGCATGCACTTGGACAGAAAGGCCATAAAGAATAAGGGTGGCATGGCTACTAGCCATATATATGCCAATGAGTAAATAAAAAGAGCTAGTTTGCAGAAAAATAGTGGTGGTGAGAATCCATTATGGAGAGAGGAGGAGAAAAGAAGGAAAGAGTAAGAAAGAGAGAAAGAAAGAGCATGAGAGAGCTCTAGCACTAGCTCTGTTCATTGGCTTTCTAGTTCCTAGTTTTAATACAAGGCGCCCCCCCAAAATGTATACACACAATGTCTGTAGATTCTGTGACATTTTAAAAATGAAATGTATTTTTAATAAACACTGCCTTTTATAATTATTCTTAGTGTGCATACATTTTTGAGACACCCTGTATTTATTGTAACTTAATTTTCCTTTTTCTTTTTTTTTTTTTTGGTTAGATAGGGGTGATGGTGAGATGACATTTAACAGAAAGGGGATTTTATGTTCACTGCTGGAAACTCTCTTTCCTCCACTGTACTAGATGGTGATCACAATTTTAACATCCTATGGCTATAATATGTCTAAGGATCTTAACCAAAAAATCCTCACATAGACTGTCATCTCATTCTGAAGGAGAAAAAGTATGCATTGGGTAAAGATCTTATTGCCTAAGATCTGGAACTTAAATTTACAGTAATTTCTAATACTTGAGCACGTGCACTTTTCTTCCTGATTCTGCAATAAGGGACAGGAAGTGAAAAAGGGAACATTCTTCATGCTCAAGTTAAGTAGTCAGAGACTCATTTAAGATATACATTAGAGGTGAATAAATGTGGGAAAGTAAAATGATCACCAAATTTGAACCTGAACTGATCTGCATTTGATGTCCTACCAAGATGTGAAAATACTGTCTTCAGAGAATTAAATCAACAACTCACCTTTTCTATTATATAAGCAATATATGTGTATTGTCATAAATTTGGCCCAAATACAAATAATGTTAATATTTAGTGCATATATATTTAATATCTTTAAACAAACCCTCTACCATTTGTTCAGAAGGGGTCTGATTATTTGACAATGCTTATGTCCTCAAGTAGGCTATAAATTCCATGAGGAGAACCCCTTTAGCATAACTCTACTGCCCCCGCTCCCCCACTTCAATTACTTTCTTTGGGAAGAAATATGGGAAAGGTTATAAATACTTCCTTCACTAGCATGCAAGCATTCATTCATTTAACAAACATATTATTGAGCACCTAGTATGGAATTGAGCAAGGTCTGGGGAATTCAAAGGTACATGCCCTTAAGTTTATTTCTCAAGAAATTCACAAGTCTGATACACAAATAATTATTTCTTTAAGTACTTGTGCAATTTTAGAGTGATGCGTAGAAGTATTAAGAAAGCACAGAAGAGAAAGCAAAGGGAGTGGGGCGGTTGTTGGGGAAAGTTTCTTGAGGGAGGTGACACTGGCCAGACCACGTGTGCAGAGGATGGGGGGAGAAGGGGAGAAGAGGAGTGAGGAATACACATTTCAGGGCCCCTTCCAGTGTCAGCACCAATTCCTGTTCCCTCAAAAAACTGAAGTTCAACGTTAGACTAGGGATCCCTCCCGTACTTCGAACTTGGAAACTGAGAACTAAGGGCCAAAAGACTGGGCTCCGGAGCCAGGACTCCCTCCCAGCACCTAGAGAGCCCCGCGGACTCCTAGGCGGGGCGGGGCCGGCAGTGCGTGCGCCCCGGCGGCTGGGCCGGGCCCGCCCCCAGGGGCTGGCGCCGGCGTAAGGCGCTGATTGGTTGTGTGCCGGCATCGGCCTCCCGTGATAGGCGGCGCCAGGGCAGCTCTCCGGGCTTTGATTGGCTCGCGGGGCGCAGAGCGGACATAGCCCGTGGCGGGTCGTCGGGGAGACTGAGAGGGAAGGGGAGTCGGGGTGTTAGGCCTAGCGGGCTGACTGGGCTGCGGGCGGCCGGGCCGTTCCGTGAGGCGGGGACCGGAGAGCCGCGGGGACCGGGCGCGCGGGCTGCACGCCACGCTCCGGGGGCGCCTGAGCGAGCGGGCCGGCCGGGAGGAGCGGCCGGGAGTCCCCCAGCCGGGACCATGGGCTGCTGCTTCTCCAAGAGGCGGAATTCGGAGAAAGAAGCGCAGCCCCAGGGCGAGGAGGAGCCGCCGAAGCAGTACAGCTGGGACCAGCGCGAGAAGGTAACCCGGGTCCCGCGGCCGCTGCTCGCTGGACCCCTCCCCCCCGCCCCCAGCCGCCCCGCCGGGGTCCCTTGTGATCCGGGAGGGCGGAGGGGAGCGACCGAACAGCTGGCTGTCTCTCTCTCGCCCCCTCCTCCCCCCTCCCTCCCTCCGGTATTGGAAGTCGGGATGGATGACTTTTGGGGGGATCGAAGAAGCGGGCGGGACCCCAGAGGACCGGACGGCGCTGAGGGGGCTGAGCTGTTGACCCGGTAGATGCCCAAGTTCACTCCCCGGGGGCTCGCCCTCCGCTCCACACCCTCACGGTCCCAGGATGGAGTCCTGGGGAGGAAGGCGAGCCGGCCGTGCCCCGAGGCTCCAATCTGCTCGTTTCTCCGGGCAGCGCCGAGCGAGTGGGGTTGGGTCGGGTCCTCGAGTTACACACGGGACTGATTCTCATCTCTCTCGCGGCTCGTGTGCTTCCTGGGGCCGTTGTGTCTTTTGTCCGCCCCGGGCCGGTAAGTCGCTCCGGTACCTATTGGCCTGTTTCACTGCTGGCTTGGCTCACACCCGCGGGCTGTTCCACGGGCGGCTTCCCGCCCCTTCAGTGACCCGAAAGGAGTCATAAAAATCGGATCAGTCGTGGAATGTGTGTCCAGACTGGGTAACTAGCATGAAGCAGGCAGAATTTACGAATTGCTTGAAATGCATGAAAACGCTCTCATGTTTATTTTCACATAGAGCCAAACAATTTTTACAAACTTGGAAAATGTCCACTCTTGCACAAAACACACTTAGTCATCAATTTCATAAGGCTTCCTCTTTCTCCATAGTTCTCCATTTGTGTTTAGTAAAAGACTTTATAGATGTATCCATTTTTTTTCTTCCAAACAAAATGAGAGAGTTTTTTTTAAATGGGTGTCATGAAGTTAACTTCTTCTCCCTGGTTAACTTAACATATCTTTATCCACAAATGCTTTATAGGAAATTTCTTGTTAATGTTTTGATTTCGTAGACCTGCCTGTGTGATTTCCAATCCCCAGAAGAATGTATTCGTGTGAACTCGGTTCTCCAAGTGCCAGATTTAAGAAAGTGGATGCTCAGCCCCGTATTTCTGCTCCTGTCTTTCAGATTGTTCCTGGGTTTCATGGCGTATTTATTCTCTCTTATCCTTAATTATAGCAGCATTTTATAATATAGGAATGGAAAGTAATGTGCTTCCTGTCGTACAAGAAGATTATACCTATGGTTTAAAATTATTGGTGGGCATTTTTAAAGACTCATTTGCTCAGCCCTAGTATTTCTAACAATGCTGTTTAAGCTTCAACTGTCTACCATAGAGAAGACTGTGTATTTGTTTTTATGTTAGCTTTTTGTTTTGACATCATAGGCCCAAAACTAAACTAAAGTGCTTTTGTGTTTTTATTTAGAGTCATCTTGGTTGCCCTTTGAGTCATTACGTCATAATAAATTGTTTTACAATTAAACTTCATTAACATGATGTTCGGGTTACTTGGAATCTCACTTTTTAGTTAATCTTGCTCCTTTCAGATAAATGGGTGTGTCCTGTAGGTTGTTTTTTTTTTTCTTTTGCTCTTTGACTAAGTAAACTCATTGAAAATAGAAGAGGGGATGCCAACATCTAAGCTTTTCCCCCCCAAAATGAGCATACAGGAAACTTTCAGTTTACAGGGAACATTCTTTGGGACCACTACTAGGTTCTTTAGTTGTAGAGATGTAAGAAATGTTACTCGGTATGTAAAATAAGCTCATGCTTTTGGGTATGTTTATAGTAAAAGTTAAAATCTTGATCAACTCAACTAATCAGACTTTTTCTAAATGTGCATTAGATTCTGAAACACAGCCCCATTTTAAAATCTTTTGGACTATTAGAGAGAGAATTACTAGCTTACATTTCAAGATAATGGAGGCACCACCATTTTTTCATCATTTATGATAGCCTGCTACATTTTATATGATTTAAAGATTTTTTTTCTAGTTTCTTACCTCTCATGAGGCCCATTTGGGCTAGTGTGCAAATGTTCTGTATTAGTCTAATGATGCTGTTACTGAGGTTAACATGGTTTTTCTTGCTCTCAGAAGATTTTAACTGTACCTTAAAAGCAACAGAATGCAAATACAGCCCATAGAACATAAATGAGATGTTGCATGAATATTAACAGAATCGTTTGTATAATGTGATCATGGAGTATAGCATATGCAGTTTTAAAATTATATCAGACAATTACTATTCAGCTGGCAAGACTTTAGGTGTAAAAACAAAATGTGGTGCCTGAAAAGTTTCCTCACAACTTGGAAAAAGCATGTTTAAATTTTTCCTTACGTTGTGTAATCAGAGTATCTTTATTGAGAGGCACCCTCTGGGTTTTGGGTTTTGAGTTGTGTAATTGGGCCAGTCTTAGGGGACTGGAGCTAGGAGAAATGGTCTCAATTAGAAAGAATGTTTGTGGACTAAGTGTTGTCATGGTGACTGATACTGTAATCAAGAGTGTAAGAAGTTCATTTTCTATTGCTGCTGACTTCGGGGGGGAAAAAACTGTACAGTTACTACATTGACATAGTGAGAAATATTTTTGGATTGTAAGATCTGTGTTTAAATCATTTGGAAAGAAACGCTTTTATCCTTTTATTCATATGCTGCCTCCCATAGCAATGCAAAGTATTCAATATGTATATGTACTCAAATACCAGGGAAGAATCAAAATTAGAAGAATTACCCCTGCCCTTGAAGAGCTGACTAGCTTTTTTGAGTTGAATATTTTAGTACAACCAGAGGGAAGAGGAGTGGAGTGGTACAGAAAAGTAGTCTTCATTTTCCACTTAGTCATACCAATACTCCTCCTAGATGATAGAAATGATGGCATAAGTATGAAATTTGTGATTTTGAGTATGGACAGCACATCTTGTATCCGTTACATCTGTCTCATATTCTATATTCTATAGGAACTAGAGGCTCGGTGCACGAAATTAGTGCACTGGGGGGGGGGGGTCCCTCATCCCGGCCTGCGCCTTCTCGCAGTCCAGGAGTCCTCGGGGGATGTCCAACTGACAGCTTAGGCCCGCTCCCCGGCTCAGGGCTTCTGGCTGAGCTGTGCTCCCCCTGTGAGAGCACACTGACCACCAGGAGGCAGTTCCTGCATTGAGCGTCTGCCCCCTGGTGGTCAGTGTGCATCATAGCGACTGGTCATTCCGCTGTTTGGTCGATTTGTATATTGGCCTTTTATTATATAGGATAGGATAATGCTAAACAAAAGCCTTATACCAGAGATTCAAGTAACTGCATTTTTTAATTCAGTGTCTGTTATGGAACTTTGGATAAAGCAGCCAATTCGTGCATTTCCCGTTCCTTGGCTATAACATGGGACAGTGCTAAAGATTCCTCTACTATTTAATAAAGGCCTGCTCTTAGGAAGAGGGATTAGACAGTAATGGTTACCTCTGAGGATAGAAATAGACCAGATGTAGGGAAGGACAGAATTGGTCTTAACATAAAGCACGTCATAATTCCGAGTTGTTCATCAGTGGAAGTGTGGCTTTTTTAGTAACTGATCTCAATGTTAGTGAAACATTCAGATCAGAAAGAAGTGTCTGCATTGAGTAGGGGGCTAGATGCTGTTTTTAGCCGTTTAAGTACATAAGGTATTCTGGTTATCCATTGCTGTGTACCAAACCACTCAAAACTTAATGGCTTAGAATAATGGCAAGTATTTATTTTTTCACAACTCTGCAATTTGTGTAGGGCTTATTAGGGTTGGCTCTCTGCTCTCTGTGGCATCAGCTGGGGCAGCTTGACTAGGGGGCTGGAGGATCTGCTTTCAATATGGCTTAATCACAGAGCTGGCTAGCAAGTTGATGCTGGCTTTCAGCTAGGACAGCCGTGGGCAAACTACGGCCCGTTTGAAATGAATAAAACTAAAAAAAAAAAAGACCGTACCCTTTTATGTAATGATGTTTACTTTGAATTTATATTAGTTCACACAAACACTCCATCCATGCTTTTGTTCCGGCCCTCCGGTCCAGTTTAAGAACCCATTGTGGCCCTCGAGTCAAAAAGTTTGCCCACCCCTGATCTAGGAGCTCAGCCTGGGGCCAGGGGCCTCATCAGGTACGCCAGGCTTCCGCACAGCATGATGGCAGGGCTTCAGGGGCAAGTGTCCTAAAGAGAAACTGGTAGAAGCTGCATGGCTTTTTCTACCTAGCCCAGCGGTTCTCAACCTGTGGGTCACGACCCCTTTGGCGGTCGAACGACCCTTTCACAGGGGTTGCCTAAGACCATCCTGCATATCAGATATTTACATGACGATTCATAACAGTAGCAACATGACAGTTATGAAGTAGCAACGAAAATAATTTTATGGTTGGGTCACAGCATGAGGAACTGTATTTAAAGGGCCAGAAGGTTGAGAATCACTGACCTAGCCTCTTAAGTGAAGCTATATCGACCACAAATGTCCACCCACATCCAAGGGAAGAAGACCTCTTGATGGGAGGAGTGTCAGAGAATTTGTTAACATACTTTTTAAATCCTTTACATAAAGTTGTGTTTTTTTAAGGAAATAAATAGTTCTTTGTTTATTCATTTTAAATAGCTTTACTGAGAGATATATAAGTCATATACCATACCTTTCACTCATTTAAAGTGTACAATTCATTATTTTAATAAGTTCACAGGGTTATGTTAGCATCACTATGATCTAATTTTAGAACATTTTTATCCCTCACAAAAGAAACCCATACCCACTCCCCTTCTCTTCAGCCTCTGTAAACCACACTTTTACTTTCTATCTCTGTAGCTTTGCCTGCTTTGAACATTTATAAGTGGAATAATACAATATGTGGTATTTTGATACTGGCTTCTTTCAATTAGCATGTTTTTGAAATCATCCTACTGTAGCATGTATCAGTACTTTATTCTTTTTTATTGCTCAATAACATTCTATAGAATAGATATTTTATGCATTTATCCATTGATCAGTTGATAGGCATTCAGGTTGTTTCTACCTTTTTATTTTATTTTGTTGTTGTTAATCCTCACCCAAGGATGTTTTTTCCATTGATTTTCAGAAAGAGTAGAAGGGAGGGAGGGAGGAGAGAAGAGAGAAACATCAATGTGACAGAGACACATCAATAGGTTGCCTCCCCAACATGCCTCAACCGGGGTTGGGGATGGAATCTGAAGTTCAGGTACGTGCCCTTGATTGAAAATCAAACCAATAGCCCTTCGCTGCACAGGACAACGCTCAATCAACTGAGCCACTCCGGTTGGGCCGAACTGTTTTTCAAAGTGTCTGTATGATTTTACATTTCCACCAGCAGCATTACAATTTCTTCACTCATAAAATTTTGATAAAGGGGAAAAGCACAGGGAGTAGAAAGTGTGTGGAACTGGGTTTTAATTTGTATTCTGCACTCCACTTCACCTCACTGATAAAATAATTTAGCTTTTCTAGCCCCCATTTTCCTAAGATTCCTTTCAGTTCTGTAATTCTTTGAGCATCTCATGAGGGGAGGTAAGCATTGCTAGAAGCATTCAGGCAAATCTGGGTGAACAAAGGGAATGTGATAAGATATAAAATTAAATTAAGGTTAGATTAGTTGATAGTGGAGAATCCTTTCCAATTCTAAAATTTTATAATTCTATTTTGTGTTTATGTATTTAGTAACATGTGAGCTAATCCTATATAATAAAGAACTAATATGCTAATTAGACCAAACAGCAGAATGACCTCCGGACGAAGCCGCGGCTGTGAGGGCCAAGCCCCTTGCACGAATTTTGTGCATCGGACCTCTAGTATAAATATAATACTTCATCTTCTCTCATCATCAGTGTATAAAGGTCAAGGTACTGGTATTTATTATTTCTGTAATTACGTGGCACTGATATTTACATTTGTGTGAAGTAACCTTTCAGTTACATAGTGACCCTGAAACTGACTTAGTGTTTAAATTTTAAGTAATTTGTTTATTTTAATTAAAGCATAATTTACATACCTTAAATTTATCCTTTTAAGTGAATAGTCAGTAATTAGCACCACAATCAAGATATAGAACAGTTCCATCATCCTCCTAAATATCCTCATGCTCTTTTGTAGTCAACCCTGCCTCCAGGCTCTGATCAGTTTGCTGTTGTCTTTTTGAGAATATCATATAAATGGAATCATAGAATATACTAGATGCCCGATGCACGAAATTCATGCAAGGGGCTTGGCCCCCGCTGCTTCGGAGGCCGCCTCTGCCTCGGCCCCCGCCACTACGGCTTCGTCCAGAAGGTTGTCCGGAAGGACCTCCAGTCTAATTAGCATATTATGCTTTTATTATTATAGATAACCTTTGAGTCTGGCTTCTTTCACTTAGCATGATACGTTTAAGATTCATGCATGTATCAGGAGTTCCTTTTTATAGCTGAGTTGTATTTCACTGTATGGATGGTACCATGTTTGTTTATCCATTCACCAGTTGAAGGACATTTGGGTTGTTTCCAGTGTTAGTACCTATAAATAAAGCTACCATAAATCTTTGCATACAGGTTTTTGAGTGAACGTAAGTTTTCATTTCACTTGGGTGAATACCTAGAAGTGGGATTGCTGAGTCATATGGAAACTGTATATTAAACTTTTATAAGAAACTGCCAAACTAGTTTCCGAAGTGGCTGTGCCATTTTGCATTCCCATCAGCAATGTATGAGAGATCCAGTTGCTCTTCCTCATTTGAACTTGGTATGTTCAGTTTTTAAAAAAAACTTTTAGCCATTCTAATAGGAATCTAGTTTAATTTGCCTTTGTGGTTTAATTTGCATTTCCCAATAACTAGTGATTTTGAGCATTTTTCCATGTACTCATTTGCCATCCATATATTTCCTTTGGTGAAGTGTTTATTAAAATCTTTACCATTTTTACTGGGTTATTTGTTCTCTTTTTGTTGAGTTTTGAGAGTTTTTTTTATATATCCTAGATATAAGTCCCTTGTCATATAAAAATTTGCAAAAATTTTCCCAGTTAGTGATTTGTCTTCTCTTAACAGTGTCTTTTGAAGAACATAAGTTTTCAATTTGATAAAAGTCCAATTATAAATTTTTTCCTTTTCGGATTGTGTTTTTGGTTTCACATCTAGGAAATCTTTACCTAAGGTTACAAAAATTTTTTCGCCTCTGTTTTCTGCTAGAAGTTTTACAGTTTTGGGTTTTATATGTAGGACTTATGATCCATCCTGAGTTAATTGTTATATATGGTGCAAGGTATGGGAGATACTTTTTATTTTTTACATATAGATGTCCAGTTGTTCCAGCACCAATTGTTGAAAAGACTATCCTTTCTTTATTGAATTGCCTTTGTCAATAAATATGTAAGTCTATTTTTGAACTCTTTATTCTGTGCCATTGATTTACACACCTATTGGTTTCTGTTTGAATATAGTTGTGTACTTAGGAGCCAGGCTGCCTAGGTCTGAGACTGAGCTCAAGCATTTACCCCATGACCTTGGGCAAGTTATTTAGCCTCTGGAGGCCTCAATTTTCTCATCTATAAAACAGAGATAATTATAGTGCACAACCCTCATAGGGATTTTTATGAGGATTGAGTGAATAATTATAAAGCACTTAGAATGGTGGCTGGAACCTATATAGCGTTTCTTATACTCCTGGGTCTTATTTTGAACTTCTATCATGACTGGATTTCCATTTAAATTAACAAATTCCATTATTTCATCTCAGATCATCATGATGGAAGTTTAACTGTGAGATGAATTTCAATGAAAATTTTATATCACTACTCAGTAAAAGATTAAGATGTTCACTTTTGTCTTCTGTTAGGGAAATAATGTTTAACTTAGTTTAGTAGCTGTATCAGGTGAATTCCAACTCCTGAAACATTTCTCTGATTTTGAAAGTATATCCATCACCTTTTACAGATCATAGTAAGAAATACAGCCTAAACTAACCTACTTCATAAGTGGCTCTTGTGAAAAAGGTAGTTTAAAGCATGGCCTTTCCATGCTTGTGATTTTAGGCACTTTACTTGCAACATTATTATGGTACTAAGCTTAAGGTTGTTTATAACTTTTATTTTAAAGAACTTTGAGTAATTGTTCAAAAAGTACAGCAACATAAGTCCTAAATTTCTTCTTTATAGACCATATCGAGAGTCCAGATAATTTTATACTATAGAATTCTTTAGCTATAGGATTAATTTCTCTCCATGAACAAGAACTGAAGTGTCCAGAGAAAATTCTTAGAAGAATAGTAAATTACATTGAACTCCTCAGCATTGGCAGCTGTTATGGACTGAATGTTTCTGCCCCCACCCTCCAAATTCATATGAAGAAACCCTAACTCCCAGTGTGTCTGCATTTGGAGATGAGGAAGTAATTAAGGTTAAATGAGGTCCTAAGGGTGGGGTCCTGATCTGATAGGATTAGTGTCCTTCTAAGAGACATCAGAGAACTTGCCCTGTACCCACCAAGGAAAGGCCATGTGAGGATATAGGAGGAAGGCAGTCATCTTCAAGCCAGGAAGAAATTTCTTACCAGAAACCAACCCTGATGGTACCTTGATCTTGGACTTTCCAGCCCCCAAAAATGTGAGAAATAAATTTCTGTTATCTGAGTTACCCAGTCTGTATTATTTTGCTATGGCAGCCACACTTAGTTGGCTTGGGATGCTAAAACAAAATACCATAGGTTGGGTGGCTTAAACAACAGAAAATTTTCTCACAGTTCTAGAGGTTGGGAAGTCCAAGATCAAGATGCCAGTAGATCAAGTGTCTGGTGTCAAAGATTAAATACATCCTCATGCTACAGACCAGTGTTCCTTCTAATGCATTATGTAAAACAAGTACCACATTTATTGTGCAATATTGAGTAAATAACTTTAAGATAGTTTGCTAATGATTACAGTGATTAAATGATTGGATTTTTAGTACTGTATCTATGAGAGCCTGTTTCTGGTGCATGAATAGTTCTGCATAAAATTTATATACCCACAAAGAGGTAAAACAGTGCAAGTAGATTCAAAAGTAATTTGGAAAAATGCCCTTTTAGTGACTATATTTTGATAGGCCAGTTAAACTTTAAAAAAGGAATCTGACTGATTCCAGGCATACTATTTATAAAATTATGTGAGCTTTAGATTAGAGTATCTAACGATAGAAATGGTGGCATTTGAAAAATTACATTGTAGGAATAGCTCAATAAATGTTTGACTCAAACTTGTACCTTCAGGTTCTTCCATTTTCTGGAGTATATTGCAGAAATCAATCAGGGTTTAGATGCTAAGACCCATTCATTAATTTATGGAAGGATAGAGAAATATATTTCTATGTGGGTGCACTTCCAATTTCAGAAATTTTTTAAGAAGCAGAAGTTTTAAAAGTAAAGCATCAGAAAAAGAAAACGGGTCAGGCTGGGCTGGTGTGGCTCAGTGTTTGAAGTCAACCCATGGTCAGGGCACATGCCCGGGTTTGGGGCTCAATCCCCAGTAGGTGGCATGCAGGAGGCAGCTGATCAGTTATTCTCTCTCATCATTTATGTTTCTATCCCTCTATCCCTCTCCCTTCCTCTCTCTGAAATCAATAAAAAAAAACATTAAAGAAAAAGGTCAGAGCTGAAATATTCCTTAATATTATGCAGTATTCTGTGTGTATATGTGAGAATTTCTTCAGTTGTTTCAAAAAAGTGTTTTTACAGTTGGTATGTTGAAACAGGATCCAAATACTATCCACACATTGGTTGATATGTCCTTGAGTCTTCCTTTATCTATAACAGTTTCCTCCTGTTTTTCCCTCATGCCTTTTGAAAAAAAAATATTCTATTCATTTTCTAACTATGCTACAGTCAGTGAGAGTAGGAAGTATTATTTTAGCACTAAGAATTATGCCTGGCACCCAATAGACAACTAATATTTATTAAATGATGTTAATAATACTCAAGGTCTGTGTTTTGTCCCCGCAGGTTGATCCAAAAGACTACATGTTCAATGGACTGAAGAATGAAACAGTGGGTCGCTTACCTGGGAAGGTGGCAGGACAACAGTTTCTCATTCAAGACTGTGAGAGCTGTAACATCTATATTTTTGATCACTCTGCTACAATTACTATTGATGACTGTACTAACTGCGTCATTTTTCTGGGACCTGTGAAAGGCAGTGTGTTTTTCCGCAATTGCAGAGATTGCAAGTGCGCACTGGCCTGCCAACAGTTTCGTGTGCGGGACTGTAGAAAGCTGGAAGTCTTTTTGTGCTGTGCCACTCAACCCATTATTGAGTCTTCCACAAATATCAAGTTTGGCTGTTTTCAATGGTACTACCCTGAATTAGCTTTCCAGTTCAAAGATGCAGGGCTAAGTATCTTCAATAATAACTGGAGTAATATCCATGACTTTACACCTGTGTCTGGAGAAGTCAACTGGAGCCTTCTTCCAGAAAATGCTGTTATTCACGACTATGTTCCTCTACCTACTACCAATGAGCTCCAAGCTGTCCGCATTTCCACAGAAGCCAATAGAAGTATCGTTCCGGTAACCCAGGGTCAGAGACAGAAGAACAGTGATGAATCATGCCTAGTGGTATTATTTGCTGGTGATTATACTATCGCAAATGCCATGAAACTAATTGATGAGGTAAGGAGAGAGAGAAGAGAGATGAACATACACCTGGTTAGAAACACACCACTTTGCAGAGAACTTTCATTCTTTTCAACTTGGCTATGAGAAATACAGATAATCCTTAAGTTATAGTCTTTTCTCCCCTACAGATTTATCTGTAAGCTGAATGTTTAGGTTTCAAAATACTTTCCCAAAGAAAATTTTTAAAAATATAATCCCATTCAGTAAGCATTTATTAAGCACGTATTACATGCGAGTTACTCTGTTACTATATTTCATTGATTATAGGATGCCCATTTGTTTTTGTACATTTTTGTTATCTGAAATGCATCTTACAATTGATGGCAACTTAGAGCTGTTGAAATATAGTATATGCTGGGGTTGGAGATACATTGACAAAATTCTCTGCCCTCAGAGAACTTCCATTCTTTTTTTTTAATATATTTTATTGATTTTTTACAGAGAGGAAGGGAGAGGGATAGAGAGTTAGAAACATCGATGAGAGAGAAACATCAATCAGCTGCCTCCTGCACACTCCCCACTGGGGATGTGCCTGCAACCAAGGTACATGCCCTTGACCGGAATCGAACCTGGGACCCTTGAGTCCGCAGGCTGACGCTCTATCCGCTGAGCCAAACTGGTTAGGGCTCCTTCTTTATAATAAATGATTTCCACGGAAGTTCACAAAGTGTAGTACTGCATAGTAAAGCTTGACCTTTTATAATTATTTAGTGGGGAAATTTACTTCGAGTTTTAATTGGTCAGGAAGTGGGAAAGACATTTAGGAATACAACTTTCAGAGCCTGTTGTGACCATGAGAGCAACCTTTACATTACTTTTCTTTTTGTCCTTTGCCCTATTGCCATGAAGGAGAGGTTGGTGCAGAAGAATGAGGTGGGAGCTGGGATAGCAGAGGTCATGGGCTCATGAACAGGGGCTTTTGGTGAGTTTGTGGATAGAGAAAGGTTCTTTGGGTAGCAGCTTCCACTTGAAATATAACTGGGGCTGTAGAGGTTAGGGGCTCCAGAAGCAGCAGTTCCTGTGTTGATAGGGGCTCCTGTAGGGAGGCAGCGGCAGTATATCTGATTATCCATTCATCAGACATTCTTCAGGAGGAGTCTGTTTGAATTTAAAAAGTCAAACTTCCATGGAATGGAGAAGTGAATGGAAATATCAGCAAGTCTCTTTTGATTAGACTTTTTAAAGAGTTGTAACAGTTATGTCAAGAGGAACACTTTTAGGGAAAAAACACTAAAAATGACTACCTTTTGTAGATATACAGTCTACAATGTAGAAAACTCATGTCTGAAATCTACAAAGTATGTCTGAGATCTAGTTTTCAAAACAACAGAAACCAGAGTATAATTTTAAGACTTTGATATTTTATTTTTTTTATTATACCAATCTGATGAAAACATGCTATGAATCTGGTAAGATCTAGAAAAAGTGTTTCTAGCCTTTGAGTTATCTAATAACATGTTAATCCAACATCTGAGAGGAAAATCTTTTCATTATAATATATAGCAGTTTTTTAAAATCTACAAATACTCTCTCATCAATGTTTCTAACTCTCTATCCCTCTCCCTTTCTCTCTGTAAAAAATCAATAATATATATATATATTTATATATATATATATATATATTTTAAAAAATCTACAAATAGTTTTCAAAAGGTGTAATTATTCAGGTTAAATTCCTTTTTGGTAGGTAATACTAGAGGCCCAGTGCACGAATCTGTGCACGGGTGGGGTCCCGAGGTGGTGGAGGGAAGGGGATGCGATCAGCCCTCCGGGCGGGCGGTAGGATGCCCTTGCCAGCCCGGGATCCGGATCTGTCCTGCTGACATTTGCACCAGTTGTCGGGAGCCACCTGGCGGCCACTTTTATATTGTTTCTTCCTTGCGGAGTGTCTAGGGAAGGAAAGCAGCTGTGGTGCCTGAGGCCGACTTCCAGGAGGCCAGTGGCACTGTCGGGATCGTGCCTGCAGCACTGGTCCATCAGTGCCTGGCCTGTTCTCCGGATATTGGACCTGCAGACTACTGAGGGAGTGAGTGGCTGCCTCCAAGCTGGTGGGCCACCAGGAAGGGTCAGTCAGCTTAGTGGCGCTCCTACTGTGGGAGTGCACTGACCACCAGGGGGCAGCTCCTGCATTGAGCATCTGCCCCCTGGTGGTCAGTGTGAGTCATAGCGACCGGTAGTTCCAGTTGTTCCAGTCATTTGGTCTTAACGGCTGCTTAGGCTTTTATTTATTTATTTATTTTTATATATATAAAATGTTTAAATAAAAAAGCCATCAAGCCCAGCCAGTGTGGCTCAGTGATTGAGTGTCAGCCCATGAACCAGGAGGTCACAGTTCGACTCCCAGTCGGGGGACATGCCTGGGTTGTGGGCTCGATCCCCAGTAGGGAGAGGAGGCAGCCAATCTGTTTCTCTTGCTCCATCCCTCCCCTTCCTCTCTCTAAAATCAATAAAAATAGATTTTTTAAAAAGCCCTCAAAATAAACAATGTCTTCATGAGTCATCAGGTGTTCTTAACCTTTGTATCTGATGTGTAAAATGACAGTGTTGTGTGCCCTCAAAAGCAATATGACCAGTGAGGTTCTTTAGATATCCTTCTGGAATACAAAATAATTTAAAACAAACACATCTAATAAGAATAATAATAGCTAACATTTATATAATGTTTACTATATATCGGGCACTATTGTAAGTGGTTTAACTCAATTCATAATAACCTATGAAATAGGTGTCATGGTTCCTTTTTTTACAGATAAGGGAAATGAGCCAGAGAGAGGGTACGTAACTTGCAAAAGTCACTCACATGGTAAATGCAGAGCCATTACTTAAGTCCAGGTAATGTGGCATTGTAGGCTGCATCTTAACCCTTAAGTCTGATGCTACTATGCCATCTCAGTTGTAAAGAAAAGTTGATAAATGCCTTGTGGAGCAGGAATGTGACCAAAAGTACATGGAGTCAAGACAGATACTGTCATCCAGCCTAGAAAGAAAAACCCTGGGACTTTTTTGGCTAGTTGTCCTACCTAATTTTGAAACCACAAAATTAAGGAATAAAAAGAACAAAAAGAAGGAAATGACAAGTACATGTGAAGAGGGTATCAAAACGTGCTGAAAACCAGTGACTTAAGAGAGAGATTGCATTTTTTTAAAATTAGGCTCAAGTTCTTAGGAAAATATGTGTAGAAGCTAGTTAATTCTGAGATGGAAAAAATAAAGCGAGTCTTTTTTGTATTATAACACAAATATCTTAAACAGTCTTAGACTGGAACTGCTAACTCTGGTTTTGTTAAACCCTAGGAGTATCACAGAATTTTGTTTCAGTTATTTCTACAAATTAAACATGTCATAATGTTTTTTTTCTTTTATAGATAGGAAGTATAAAACTTGAGAGGGTCCCGAAAAGCTGGGTAAAGCAAAAAACACCTTCCATAGGGAGTCAAGAGAAGTACTGGGCCCTTGGTTATCTCACCTAAAAATCAGAGTTTCGCTGGCTGTTACTTAGATCACAGATATGCACAGGATAAATTAGAATAAATCTAATTTGAATTGTTTAGAAGTGTTACATAATTCAAGTTGGGTAGTTACCACTATTTTCAAGTCTCTAAAAGTAGAATAATTTTCATGAAAAAGAGTCTCTTCAAATATTTACAGTGAAATCATGTTTCAGAGTTCATTATTTGTTTTTAGGTAACGGTATTTTGAATTAGTCATCTTACTTTTGTCAGTTTATGTGTCTGACTATAAAATGAGAGGTAACGGGCAGTCTAGAAAATTAGAAACAGATGTAGGATTGTTTTAAGTAATATTGCAGTCATCACCTGGCAGTGATGTCCATGTAATTTCTGCTACTTTTTAATTTTTTTTTCCTGAGTTAGCATTGAGGGCTGTGAAAAAATAATTTGAGTTTGAATCCAATTTGATGGAATGGGAATAATGTAGTCATAGGATGAAATACTATTAATCATTAAAACTGATTTTATAGAATAACTGGAAAATGTTCACAGTTATGTGGAAAAGTTGTAGATTATATAATTATCTGATCTATTTTAAGTAGGTAAGTCTCAAAAGTTATAGATACTAAAACATTAACAGTTATGGTTATTCTTAGGAAGTGAATTAAGCAAAAGGTATTTTCATTTTTGTAGTTCTATGGATCTTGCAATGAACATGTATTATTTCTGTAATGGGGGAAAGTAAACTGGGAGGGTAAAAGGAAGTATGCAAAGGAAGTATGCCAATATGGCAGTGACGTCTTTGAGTATGCATCTTGGTTGATGTTTTTTTTTCAAATGTTCTTTATTGAGCATATATGTTACTTTCATATCAAAAACCCAGTACACTTTGCTAAAAACTGAAGTGGCTGAATGACTGCATTTTAAAAACTAATAATTATTTTAAAAATTAATATGCACTCATTGAAGAAAACTATAGAAATAAAGAAGAGTAGAAATATGTTTAAAAATCATAATGTACTTACTGTACTTTGAATAGTCTTTTAAAGAATATTCTTTTTAAGAACAATCTTTTTTATTTAGTCTGTAATCAGATTAATTGGTTTTTAAATATATATGTGTTTTTATTTTTGACAATATTACAGATGTCCCACATTTTCCCCTGCTTTACCTCCCTCCACCCAGCCCCTATAACCCTCCTCCAGGCCTTCACCACACTATTATCTGTGTCCATGGTCTTTGCATACAAGTATATAAGTTCTTTGGTTAACCTCTTCCCACTCCCCACTCACCCAGATATGTCAGTCTGTTCCATGCCTCAGGACTTATTTTGTTGGTCAAATTATTTTGTTTATTAGATTCCACAAATAAGTGATATCATGTGATATTTGTCTTCTCTGACTGGCTTATTTCACTTGGCATAATAAATTTCAGGTCCATCCATACTGTTGCAAAGAGTAAGAGATCCTTCTTTTATACAGCTGCATAGTATTTAAGTAATTAGATTTTAAAAAATGTTTTTATTGATTTCAGAGAGGAAAAGAGAGGGAGAGATAGAAACATCAATGATGAGAGAGAATCATTGATCGGCTGCCTCCTGCATGCCCGCTACTGGGCATTGAGCCTGCAACCTGGGCATGTGCCTTGACCGGGAATTGAACCGTGACCTCCTGGTTTATGGGCCAGTGCTCAACTACTGAGCAACACCAGCTGGGCTCAATCAATTGGGTTTTAATCATAACTCTGTTACTTAATAGTTGTGTGATCTTGGGCAGGTTTCTTAACCACTCTGTGCCTTAGTTTTCTTATCTGTAAAATGAGGATAATAATAGTACCTAAAGTGCATAAAATGCCTGGTACAGAGTAAGTACTCCATAAATATAATCTATCATTATTGTGCTATATTCTATAAATTTGTATCATGTTTTTAAAAATTAACATTGTTATACAAGCTTTTCCCCATTTTATTATTTGTTATGTTTAATGAACTATGGTATTTTATCATGTCAATGCACCATAATTTACTTAACCGTTCTCCTTTCATTATCACAAAACTAAGGTTTCCATCTATTCATTTCAGTCAAAAAATTTTTAATTATATTTAAAACCCTTTGCGGTCCAATTTTATTTTTGGAATTCAAACAGTCTGGTCCAAATTAATTGACGGGATTGAATGTTGAACCAGTTCGCGGTGTCGACCTCAGCCTCGACGTTGGACCTGCTCCTGGCGTCTGGTCTGTCGAGTCAGCCTCGACGTTGGACCGAAAAGGGTTAAAATTTTGAGGGATCATTCACATTTGTTTGATCCTTAATCTTAGCAGTAGGCATTGTGTATCAGTTCTTAAGCAGAACTACCCATCTGGAAGAAGGAATCTTGTATATGTGAAAACCTGTTATAGCAAACACCCCAAATTAGAGTTATAACGAAAACAAAATTCAGCATACTGTGTCATATTTTATACAGAAATGTACTAGGAAATATTGTTTTAATCTCAGAAGGTCATTTTAAAATCTAAGTGAAATTCTGTTTTCCACAGATGGTTCATTTAGGTTTTTTCCTGATGCAGACAAAGGAAGTATCCATGAAAGCTGAGGATGCTCAGAGGGTTTTTCGGGAAAGAGCACCTGAATTCCTTCAACTTCTGAACAAAGGTACCTTCTGGCTGATTGGTACACTTTTGTGCTTATCCTCTTGAGATGCTGATTGGGTTTACTCTGGCCTCTTACATTGCCTTCTCTTTCTCACTTGTTTTGTGTTTTTTCCTACTACTATTCAGAAATGTCAAAATTTCACATCATTTAAAAAAACCTATATGATAATTAGAAATCAGACATTACATTTTTTTTCCTATTCTATTGCCTTAGTTCTGAAAAATCACATTATATTTTATTATTTTTTATTATTTTATTATTGTATTATTATACTGTCCAGAATTACAAAGCACTTGATAAGGATTCTTTCTGTCTTCAGTGTGCTTTGACCATACATGAAAAGTAAGAAATATAAATAAAATGGTATAGTATTTTATGTAGTTGATATGACTGATTAATTTCCCATGCAAAAATAGGATTGTTTTCCCCAGCGGGCAAATGCTACCAGTACATTTCAGATATTGAAAATATGTCTGCAAAAAGAGGATCTAGAGTTAGTGTGACCTTCTGAAGGGTTGCTGTCTGCCTATATGTATTGAAGGTGTGCTGATTCTGGAGGACAGAGTACTGTTCTTCTTTGAGATGGGAACATTGTTTGCTTAAGGCCCTTAACCCTTTGCACTCCGCTGTCCCCTCTCAGGGAACATCGGAATTCTAGCATATCACTCGGATGTCCCCTCTCAGGGGACATTGCAGTTTATTAGTGATTACGGGGAATTGAGTTATTTCAACGCAACTTTTTGAGACATGCATGTTTCCCTGAAGTTTTATCTTGAAATGGCACAAGAAATTAAATCAAAATATCGTAAAAATTACTAAGATATATACAAGAAATGTCAGCGGGTTTTGTGTCGGATTAAACAATAAACTACATATTCCCGATGTGGGACAAAGAAAACAGGACTGCATTGTGTGTTCTAACAGGAAAACACCTGGTGGCAGGCGTCAAACCACTTATTGCTGTCAAACATGCACTAATCAGCCTGCAATGCATATTGGGGAGTGTTACAAAACTTATACTGTACAAAATTATAAACAATAAAATATTGTTTTTTTTGCAAATATACATTCCTCGATGTCACCCAATTCATATAAGTCCAATATCATTATAATACGTTACTTGGTTCCAAAATTATACTAAATAATACGAGGGTCTGTAAATGCACGTTTCCGCCGCAAAGTAGCGTCGAGTAGCTGGTAGCCAATGTCCAGAATGGTTCGGAGTGCAAAGGGTTAAGTATTATAATGGTATTGTGGTTATGTAGGCAATGCATGCTGATGTGTTATGATATCTGTTGTTTTCAAATGGCTCAGCAAAACAAAATCGAAGTGTGTGTGCTCATGCACGTGTAGCATATGATAAAGCAAATCAATATATAACCTTATTGTATGTGTGTCTGTTTAAAGACACCTTTTAGTATGTATTATTGATTCATTAGCATTGAACTTAGAGCCAGCAGCACTATAACTCAGGCCTATATGAAGCTTCCCTAACAGCTATTTTCTCTGTAAGACATATCACAGTCTTTCTAAACTTAGGAACCTTATACAGCACTTCAGCACTACGTTTGTGGGCCATTTAAAATAGCAAAATCACAACAAAAAGAACAAAATGTGGAAAATGTGCCACTAAATAGACTATGAAAAGGACACTTGTTTACAGAATGAATGTTGAAACAAGAAGGCAGAGCATCACTTTGTTCATTTTCACCTGGGACCATGCATGTCAGGCAACTTTTTTATGCCACTCTGAGTGTCCGCAAATGACCATGAAGAAACTTTTATTGATTTTGGGGTCACAAATAAATTTTTCCAGGTAAGCAGATTCACAAATAAAGCATTCACAAATAATGAGGATCAACTGTATATGTATTTCATGTTAAAAATTTTCCTTTAAGCACTGCTTTAAGCATCCTGCAAATTTTGATCTGATGTATTTTCATTTAATTCAGGGTTTGGCAAAATATGGCCTCCTGTATGTTTCATAAATGAAGTTTTATTTGGAGCACAGCCACACTCATTATTGTATCTACTAGAGGCCCAGTGCTTGAAATTCATGCACCCAGGGGGTGTCCCTCAGCCCAACCTGCGCCCTCTCACAGTCCAGGAGCCCTCGGGGGATGTCCAACTGCCACAGAGGCAAGAGGCACTCCCACCATCACTGCTGCGCTTGCCAGCTGTGACCCCAGCTTCTGGCTGAGCAGCGCTCCCCCTGTGGGAGCACACTGACCACCAGGGGGAAGTTCCTGCGTTTAGTGTCTGCCCCCTGGTGGTCAGTGCACATCATAGCAACCAGTTGTTCTGCCGTTTGGTCAATTTGCATATTAGGGTTTTATTATATAGGATTGTTTTGTTGATTTCCTACCTGGTCCTTTATAGAAAAAGTATATTGACCTCCCCCCCCCCATGTAGTTCAGAATATTTTTTAATTTCCCTTGAGACTTTTCACTTAATCCATGGATTATTTAGAAGTATATTGTTTAATTTCTAAACATTTGGAGATTGTCCAGATGTGTTTCTGTAATAGATTTGTAGATTGTTATTATGGTCTGAAAATACACATTGTATAATTTCTATTTTCTTTACTTAAGGTTTGTTTTGTAGTACAAATTATAGTGTATCTTGGCGAATATTCCATATACATGTGAGGAGAATGTATAATCTGCTTTTGTTGGGCCTCTATAGAGGCCCACTAGGCCAATTTGGTTGATAGTGTTATTCAGATCATCTATATCCTTACTGATTTTCTGCTTACTTGTTCTATGAATTAAAGAGAGAGGAGTGTCAAACTCTCCAACTATCATTGTGGATTTGTCCATTTCTCTTTTCAGATCCTATCAGGTTTTGCTGTGAAACTTTTTGTTAGATGCATACACATTTAGGATTGTTATGTCTTCTTGGAGAGTCCTTTATGATTATGTAATGTCTCTTTTTGTCTCTGATAATCTTCCTTGTTCTGAAATCTACTTTGCCTGATATATATAGCTACTCCAGCTTTTGTTTGGTTGTTAGTGTTTCATCATATACTAGAGGCCCAGTGCACGAATTTGTGCACCAGTGGGGTCCCTCGGCCTGGCCTGCAGGATCAGGCCAAAACCAGCTCTCCAACATCCCCCAAGGGGTCCTGGATTGCAGGAGGGCACAGGCCAGGCCAAGGGACCCCACTGGTGCACGATCGGGGCCAGGGAGAGACACAGGAGGTTGGCCAGCTGGGGAGAGACCACGGAGGGCTCCAGGGTGAGTCCGGCCTGTCTTGTTCAGTCCTGATCAGCCAGACCCCAGCAGCAAGCTAACCTACCGGTTGGAGCATCTCCCCCCCCCCCCCCCGGTGGTCAGTGCACGTCATAGCCAGTGGTTGAGCAGCCTTAGTATATCATGGCATATTACGCTTTGATTGGTTGAACAGATGACCGGACACTTAGCATATTAGGCTTTTATTATATAGGATCTTTATCTCTTTTCTTTTAACTTATCAAAGTCTATATACCTAAAGTGAATTTTTTATAGACAGCATATAGTTGGTTCTTGCTTTTTAATCCTATCTGACAGTCACTCTTTTAACTGGTATATTTAGACCATTCACATTGAAAGGGATTGATATAGTTGGATCGACATCTACCATCTTGCTAGCTGCTTTCTGTTCCATTTATTCTTTGTTTCTTTTTACCTCTTTTTGTTTAATTGGCCGTTTTTTTTATAACTCCATTTTATCTCTATTGACTTATTGTTTATACCTTTTATATAATGGTTGCCTTAGGTTTTACAACATATATATTTGAGTCCACCTTATAGTAATATTATACCACTTCACCTATAGTATACACTGAGTGGCCAGATTATTATGATCAGCCAGATTATTATGACCACCCCATCAGTACTTTGTTGGGCCACCTTTTGCCTTCAGTATTGTGGTGATTCTTCTTGGCATTGACTCCACGAGATGTTGAAAGGTGATGCAATGAATCTGACACCATGCCTGATGAATAGCACTGTCCAGTTCTGTGAGGTTGGATGGTTGTGGAACCAGCTGCCTGATGGCTCTTTTAACTTCGTCCCACAAATGCTCAATTGGATGGAGATCTGGTGATTGTGGGGGCCACCTAAGCAAGGTAAAGTCTCCCTCATGTTCTTGAAACCACTCCTGCACAATACGAGCACCGTGGCATGGCGCATTGTCTTGTTGGAAGAAGCCATCATGATAGGATGAACTTGATCAGCAACGATACTTAGGTATGTTGTGCTATTCAGACGTTTATAATGGTCTGGCCCTCTAGCAACTTCAGCGCAAAATTATAGCTAATTTGCCTACAAACGTCAGGTGGTCATAATAATCTGGCCACTCTGTGTATAAGGTCCTAAAAACATTATATACTCAAATCTTTCCTCCCATCCCTGTATCATTATTACATATCTTACTGTTGCATATGCTACAAATATCTAATACACTGTTAATGTATTTAAACTCAGTTATTTTTAAAAGAATTAAAAATAATAAAAATATAGATAATATTTTACTGGAGGCTTTAGAGCAGAAGAATGTCATGGTCCCTTTAAAATGTAACTTTTATCATTCTGCTTGCTCTAAGGGGGAAGCAGAGAGCCATCTGGAGGCTGTTGCTGTAATCTAATTGAGACATGGTAGTGGCTTGTTCCAAGGTCATGTTAGATTACACAGAAGACTTTATTAGATAGGGCATTCAGGAATCTTTTTTGTTTACTTCAAAGTCTCACAATCTTTTTGACAGTTCAAATATTTAGATTTCAAGCTTCTGCGAACTATTTGATAAGACGTTCACATTAAAACATTAAAAGCATGACTAATGATCCTTGTTGACCTCATAGTTCAGTTTGAAATAAACACTGAAATTGTAGTTATCATTATTAGATAGAAAGACAAATAGGGCTTCTTAAAGAGTACATTGTCAGCATTGTAGTTTTTTAGTTTAGGATTGTCCATACATATTAATCAAAATTGATGCACTTGTCTACCTTTTTTGTTAGTGATTGCTTGTTGACAAATTATTAGGTCGCTTACCAGAAGCTCATAATATTCTATTCAAAAAAATATCAACCAAGTTTCACATTTGGGTAATTCTACCAAAATTGGATTTCTGAATTCTGGATTATGTTGTCTTTGCAGAATGCAGGTACTTTCAGTAATAAATGTCTGACTTTTCAAAATATATCTACTGTATATCCTTGTACTGATCCTGACTAAAAGCATACTGTATTCTACCTTAATTCAAACTTTCCACTTTCTGCAAAACTGGAAACGCTGCATTTATAATCAACTTTTTCTTTTCTCAGTATTTATTTTGTTTAAAATGCTTTTTAAGTCCTTTTGCAAATTTACAAATGTACTATCTCTATTCAGAAGTACAGAGTACAATGCCTCATGTGTGCCCATCCCATTTTATCAACTTTTTGCCATTCTTGAAAAAATAATTTATATTCTTTTTGCTGAAATATTTTAATCAAATTTTAATGTCTTGTCATTTCACCCCTACATATTAGTGTGTGTCTTCTTAAACAAAATTAAAAACAGGTGTTTTCTTAAGTAATCACAATATATTATGACATCTATTTCTTGCCTCAGGAGTTGCAAAATGATCATTTTCTAATCATGTCACTACCTCTATATTTAATAATGGATGTTAACAGAACTTCCTGTACAGAAGAACTGTTTGGTTAATTTGAAATATGCTTCATGATTAACAATTCCTTAATCTCATCGAATAACCAGTCCATATCCAAATTTCCCTAATTGTCTAAAAACATTCTTTATGTATTCTTTAAAATACTTTTATTGATTTCAGAGAGGAAGGTAGAGAGAGAAAGAGAGAGAGAGAAACATCAACGATGAGAGAGAATCATTAATCAGCTGTCTCCTGCACACCCCCTACTGGGGATCAAGCCCCCAACCCAGGCATGTGCCCTGACCAGGAATCAAACTGTGACCTCCTGGTTCATAGGTCAACGCTCAACCACTGAGCTATGTCGGCTGGGTTCTTTATGTATTTTTATAGTTAATGTGATCCAGATCTAAAATTGTCCCACTCACTGTATGTCATTTTTTGTATCACTCTTAATGAGAAACGGGTGTCTCCCTCTCCCCCCCTTTTTTGTCTTGTAAAAGAAACCTGGTCATTTGTCCTGTGTGCCTGGGTGTGTTTAATTTGTTCCTCTACAGTTCTTGTAGACTATAAGTTAGATCAAAGCCTTGTTTACACTCACGTTTAGGGGTTCTTTTGGGCAAGAATATTTCACAGGTGGTACTGTTTCCTATATCATTACATGAGAGGGCACTTAACTTGATTATTGCACTTTTAGTGATACTAGAATTGATTAAGTTCAGCTCCTGACAATCTTCTTTTTGAAGTTTCTTATCACTTTTCCCTGTGGGATGCTAAAAACATTGATGATTGTTGCCTGATTCAATTATTTTATTAGGAGTTGCAAAATGATCATTTTCTAATCATGTCACTACCTCTATATTTAATAATGGATGTTAACAGAACTTCTTGTACAGAAGAACTGTTTGGTTAATTTGAAATATGCTTCATATCAGAAAAGCAGAATAAATAAAGGGAAAATAATTAAGCATTAATTTTCAAAGTAATAATTTGGTGCCCTAGCAACCTATAGTAGTATCCAATGAATTTTCTTTGTTTCTCTCTTTTCTAAATATCATTAGTAGCTCATGAATTTTTATGTATTCAGTATGTTTTAATAAATTGCAGTCATTATTCCTTCTGATCTCACCGAGGCTCATCTTTGGCCATTTGGAGCTCCTTCAAGCTGGCTCCTGTGTCCTCTTGATACAACCCCATTGGCCTTCGATAGCCTCATTGCTTTTTGGCTCAACAAGATATTCCTAGTTGATCTTACCCATTTCTTGCCTCAGACACAGAATCGTCCATTTTTCTGAGTTACCTTCTTTTCTTTACTCAGCACCTGTCTTCATCTACACTCTGTGATGCTGAAAAACCCACACTTTAATTTGTTCTCTGTATCTAATTGTATAGTTGACTGTCTATATAGCCTACCTTTTCTGTATTTGTTGTCTATGTTAAATCACAGGCCCTCAGTGATTTTAGTTATTTAGTGAGATCTTTTCCCTCATTCATATACCTTGCCCTGTGGCACATGCCTACATTCATCTTAGCATTTCATTACTTAGTACTTCATCATTTTCTGTTGTTCTGTATTTGTTTAATGGTGTGTTTTTTTTTTTTATGTGTAATTTCATGGAGGTCAGGACTTCTCCATTACTGTAGGAGATAAAAAGCAAATCTATTAAGAATACAGTGATAGCTGAATAAAAATTGAATTGAAGGGCATATTTTGCTTGGCTGACTTGTGGCCATGTTTGCAACAGTTTGACACTGGGTAGTGCCAATGCTACATTTAAATCCAGAAATTAAAGTACAGGTGGTTTAAAAGTATATAGATTAATGTATGGGAGAGGAAGCATAAATATTTTCAGAGAATTAAAAAAATGAACACTTGGTCATTGGATCTAGAATGTAGTTTTAAGGCTCACTCAAGAAATATATTTCACATAGTCATTACTTTTGGTGCCTGGCCTCAATTCCTACTTGGCTTAGCTTCATTATTGGTGGCCCAGAACTTGGCTGGTAAGTAGGAGAGTTGGAAGCAAGGCTGGCTGCCTGGCAAAACTTACTTATGTTGACTTGAATTGCTTTTGATCTTTTCTGTCATTTGTCAACTGCTTTTTGTACTGCTAAATGGGTGAGCTTTTAATGGTTTTTATAGATGAATGAAAACTAGAAAAGCCAGACTATTCACAACACTTAATGTGATAGTCCACCCTGGCTCAATTGGTTGGATTATCGTCGTCCCACCCACCAAAAGGTTGCAGGTTTGATTCCAGATCAGGGCACATACCCAAGTTGCAAGTCTGGCTCGTATAGGGAGGCAACCAATCAATATTTCTCTCTCTCTCTCTGGCTCGTATGGGGATGCAACTGATCGATGGATCAATGTTTCTCTCTCAATGTTTCTCTTTCTCTCTCTCTCTCTCTCTCTCTCTCTCTCTCTCTCTTTCCCCTCTCCCTCCCTCCCTTCTTCTCTATGTGATAGTCCTATAGTAGCACTGAAGCTACCCATCATGTGATGAGACTCTATGTTAGTTTGTACTATATGTTAATTTGTACTATAATTAGAGTAGGAAGAAGTAGCTGAAGTGACATTCCATCTATCTACTTCCTTCTTCCTTTTCTTTTACTTCCAAAGAAGCTAGAGATTCTTCAGGGAAGTACAAAAAGAATAATTTTAGAATAGATTTGTATTCTTGATAAGACAACACTTCTTCGGTTTGCTTATAGGTCCTGTTATTGCCTTGGAGTTTAATGGAGATCGTGTTGTAGAAGATTGTCAAAATGTTGTCAACGAGATATTCAAGAGCACCAAGGTACAAGATTTCATTGACTGTATTTCTTCTTTTTTAGCCCCATCCTGAGCTGAGTTCAGCATGACTCAGTACTGCTGTTCTTCTGGCCACTGGTCCTGACATCCCTTGAAGACCCCAGATACTCACCTAGGCCCGCATTCCCCTGGTGAGAGGGCACCCTGCTTAGAGTGGCTCTACTGCCAAGCAGGCCCTGACCTCTTCCCTGATACTTCAACCTGCTGGCAGCCTCCATTAGGGCACTTACATAGGGTCAAGTTCCTGTCCTTTACCCCCACAATAACAGAGTTCTCCTTGAAGGCTGTCCTTGTTTGAGCCAGATCCTCCTCACAAACCCCGGCCTGGACCTGGCACACTTTTAAAAAAAAAGTACTTTGATCAAAAACAGACATCCCATCCACAGGATCCCATAATCCAGGGCTTTTCTTTGTGACCTCGAAGGAGCACATGTCAGGCAAGGCGGGGACAACTTCAGAGAGACTGTTTCAGAATCAGAATTTCCAGCATCTCTGGCTGCTTTCAAATCAGTCTCAAGGAAATTCAGCTTCAGAGAGACCCCAAAGCCTCACGTGTGTCATCTCACCTCTCCCAATATCATCTCCAAGAAAAACAGTGGTCCCCTGAAATAGCCCTAAGGTACAAAAGCCCCTAGTAGGCTTCTAGAAACATCCTTCTCCCCCACTCCTAGGGGTGAACCCCAAGACTCTAGAACAACTGCCTTTTTAATCTTGAAAATCACCTCAAGGGCCTAAAGACCTCCCCCAGGAAGTTTCCAGAAAAATAGAGACTTCCATTGTGAACGGCAAGGCTACAGAAATGCCCCCACCTTTGAGGGAACGCCAGAGCTCCCCTCCAACCCATCTTCCAGAGAGATCTCCAAGGTTCCAGAAATATCTCACTGTCTTCCAAACTTCCCAATGATCTGGGACCTCCTCATCTACCAAAGCAAAACCTAGTAATCCAGAGGCCTCTGCACCTATAAGGAACCCCCAGGGCTCCAAAAAAGTCCATACTCAGACAACCTCAGAATCCAACCTGCTCCTGAGATACCTCCAGGACCCTAAGATCATTATTTTACAGGGCTCCCAGTGTCCCCATTAATCTTCCACATGCCAGGGAGACCCCCAGAATCCCTTGACTACCCAGAATCAGCCCTAGACCCTTGTATCTCCCGAACCCCCCCGCCCACCTCCTAATTCCCCATTTCACAATAGCCTTAGAGCTACAGACAACTACAGGCACACGTGACTTCCCCACCTCCTAGGCAGGGTTCTGGGACCGACCAGTATTTATATTTCAATCAAACCTTTTCTTTCTTTTTTTTTTAAATATATTTTATTGAATTTCTACAGAGAGGAAGGGAGAGAGATAGAGAGTTGGAAACATCGATGAGAGAGAAACATCGACCAGCTGCCTCCTGCACATCTCCCACTGGGGGATGTGCCCGCAACCCAGGTACATGCCCTTGACCGGAATCGAACCTGGGACCTTTCAGTCCGCAGGCCGACGCTCTATCCACTGAGCCAAACTGGTTTCGGCTCAATCAAACCTTTTCATTTCCTTTTCCTTACAATCAAATCGTACTTTTTAGCCCTAGTGTTGTATGGAATTTTTAAAAAGCAGATCATGATTTTTAGAACCTGCAATAAATAATTGGAAGCTAAGCTTTGGTTTTTCCTTGCCAAACTAAAACATTAACTGCTTACACACTTATAAAATAAGAATGTACTTATTAAAAACCATCAATAATACTTGTTTCTAAAGTGAAAAGTCTCATCAAAAGCATCTTCAAGTCCTTTTTTAAAAAATATTGAATGATCTACAGATGGTTTGACTTAATGACTTTTAGACTTTAAGTGATAGGCATTCAGTAGGTACCATACTTCTAGAGATATACTTTACCTTACTTTCTCGTAAGCTAGACGCTGTAGGGAGTCACAGCTCCCAGTCAGCCCTGCCATCACAAGGGTAAACAACCAATACTCTACAGTGTGTATTCATTGTGTTAGGTTACTTTGTCCAACTGTAGGCTAATGTACGTGTTCTGAACACGTTTAAGATAGGTAGGCTAAGTTATGATGTTCGGTAGGTTAAGTGGATTAAATGCATTTTCAACTTAGCTATTTTTTAAAAATACAATAACCATTTTTTTGCTCACAATTTTTTAAAAATGTTTTTATTAATTTCAGAGAGAGGAAGGGAAAGGGATAGAAACATCAATGATGAGAATCATTGATCATCTGCCTCCTGCACGCCCCCTACTGGGGATCCAGCCTGAAACCCAGGCATGTGCCCTGCTGGGGAATGGAACAGGGCCCTTCTGATTCATGGATCAATGCTCAACTACTGAACCACACTGGCCGGGCAACTTATGCTATTTTTAACTTATGATGAGCTTATCTGTATTTCTAACATTATATACTTTATACCAGGAGTGGGGAACGTCGGCCCTTGGGCCATATCAGGCCCATGAAATCATTTGGCCTGGCCCTGCCAAGACATTAGGGGTGAATTAAATGTTTGACCAAATACAACAGGCTAATTTTTAAGTTGATAATTTTGTCTGGCCCAAGAATGATGTTAGAAATATCCAAATCGTCCTTGGCAGGAAAAATTTTCCCTACCCCTGCTTTAGACAGATGATCCCATTGCCCAGTGTTCATTTTTATTTGTTTCAGTAATGCTTCCTCAAAAATTGAACTGGAGCTTTATCTAGAAATCATTACAAATAGGTATTTTCTAGATATGTTGATGAAGTTGTGTATTTAAGAATTTCAGACTTAATGTAACTTAAAAAACAAACATGTAAAAGGATTAAATGAGTATATATGTAACTGATTATTTTTTATAAATATACTAGAGGCCCAGTGCATGAATTCATGCACCAGTGGAGTCCCTCAGCCTGGCCTATGGGATCTGGCCGAAACCGGCTCTCAGACATCCCCCAAGGGGTCCCCAATTGTGAAAGGGTGTAGGCCAGGCCGAGGGACCCCACTGGTGCATGATCAGAGATGCGGGAGGTGGGCCAGCCAGGAAGGGACCACGAGAGGGCTCCAGGGCATGTCTGGCCCATCTCGCTCAGTCCCAATTGGCCGGACCCCAGCAGCAAGCTAACCTACAGGTTAGAGTGTCTGCCCCCTGGTGGTCAGTGCATGTCATAGCGAGTGGTTGAACGGCGAACTGGTCGACTGGACACTTAGCATATTAGGCTTTTATTATATAGGATGAGAGGAAATTTGGGGGTTTTGTAGTCTGATTCGGCTTATGATTCCTTGAATTTGCATAATTTATTTATTTATTTTTTTAATTTTATATTTTATTGATTTTTTACAGAGAGGAAGGGAGAGGGATAGAGAGTTAGAAACATCGATCAGCTGCCTCCTGCACACCCCCCACTGGGGATGTGCCCGCAACCAAGGTACATGCCCTTGACCGGAATCGAACCCGGGACCCTTGAGTCCGAAGGCCGACGCTCTATCCACTAAGCCAAACCGGTTAGGGCTGAATTTGCATAATTTAAAGTATTTTGTCTTTTACCTCATTTTATCATCACATACTATTAAGGTTGGGGCAAATATAATGAGCTTGAATAAAAAAGGAAAAAAGAGAAAATGGTTATATGACTTGTTTTTAGATCTGAATGAGTTAAAGATGATCTAATCCAACTTTCTCATTTTACAGATGTGGAAACAGCCCAGAGAGGTTTAGTAAATTTCCAGCATCGTACAGCTAGTTTATGATAAAGCTAGAATGGAACTCAGGTCTCTTCTGTTTCCTGGCTGACATTTGTAAAAGCTTTTTTTTAAAAGGATTCTATTGAGTACTGCTTTATTGTTGTTCAGAAAGTAGTTCATTTTAAATTGGTAATGTATCTTTAGCAGCTTTAAAAAAAGATAATCTCAAGTTTTGCTTCTCAGCCTATTGAAATTATTTATAGAAAATAAAAAAAAACTAAAAGTTCTTTAAATACAACTCTATTCAGTAGCTTTCATAATGAGTGTTGTATATTTTAAAACAGTAAAATCCCAAGTGTAATAAAATACAAGTGAAGTATTATGAAAGCAAAGACCTTAATTACATCATAAGTGCTTTTAAAGGAGCTTAATTTACATTATAGTTACTGAAACTATTTTGCATGGATTCTACAGAAAATCTACACATTAAATATTGTAAATGATGTGCTTGAATTTATTTTAAATAGCAAGCTTATGACTTTGTTCTGTGGAGAACATGGGCTTTGGAATTTGGGGATTACTAGTATTTATTTTTGTTTCTTTTATATTTAAAATAGACGTTTGTATCACAAAACAAGGAGACAGCATCTAGAGATATAGACGGCTTCTACAACTTTGCTGATATACAGATGGGAATATGAAGTGCACCGTGGAACCAGGGACTTGGAATTAAAGCCCTTCTCAACTTGTATATTACCAACGGCTTTTACTAAGGCTAACATTGTTAAAGTTGATTCTTCAATAAATTATTAAATACTGCATCATTTACTTGAGGTTCAAAAATAGTTCATTTTAAATTAAGTTGTTGTTTTGTTTTTTTAAGAATTTGGTCCTTCACTGGACCTGATCTTATTTTTCTATTTTTTTAAGTATGTTTTTATTGATTTTTAGAGAGAGAAGGAGGTAGAGGGATAGATAGAAACATCGATCGGCTGCCTCCTACATGCCCCCTACTGAGGATGGAGCCCACAACCCGGGCATGTGCCCTGACCAGAATCGAACAGTGTCCTCCTGGTTCATAGATCGGTGCTCAACCACTGAGCCACACAGGCCAGGCTTAAATGAAGTAGCTTTAATCAGCTTAAAAACTAACCCACTTCAATAAACTTGCAGTTTTGATTCTCTGCATATGATACTGTTATTAGAAAATAGAAGTGGCTAACAGTTCGTTTTAATCCTAAATGTTCTCTCAAATCTCTAATAATTTAAACTTTCCTCAGTGTTCCATGATATTTGTTTGAGAATACATTCCATTGCTTATTTTCTTTTTTTAATTTAGAGGGATTTGTTACTAGTTGATCAATTAGAATGAACCTATGTGCATTTTTTCATGTAACATATCCAGTTAAAGAATTGCTTCCGAGTTGCTTAATATGGCAAATGAGAGTCTGTACACAAACTTGACATACTCATAAATTGAATTTTTAAATTAATAGGTATTTGATAACTGGTTTTGCAAGTAACTCTACTAACTGATGTTGGTAAAGCTGTTTAAAGACTACTTTGTGAGTAGTATGACTATTTGAATAATTTCCACTCTGTTCAGTTTTTTACTATAATTGCTAGATGACTCTTCTGCTTTCTGGTAAGAAAAGATATATGCAACACTAAGACTGTAGAAGCCCAATCACCAGCAGTTTTCAAAAAGATGATTACTGTTCTATCAGCTCTTGTGAGATATTAGAATTGGAATAAAACCTTGTGATATTCAGGTAAGACATACTAAGGTATGATGATAAGCTATATAGATTAAAAAGCTAGATAAATTTGATTTTCATTAAATATGCCACTCATAGCAAGTAATGTTCAAGCATGATAAAAATTATTTGGTTGCTTTAAAGCATTATTCTCCAAATCAACCTACCTAATAATTTGCCAGGAGGCAGGGGATACTTGTTTAAAAGTCCAGTTGTTGGAACCAATCCCCAGATGCACCGATTCAGTCTCCAGGGGAAACTCTGTTTTAAGGGGTTTATTGTAATTTGAAGTAATCAGTTCAGAAGATATTGAGAGGTTGATCTTGTGTAAAGTGACTGAACCTACCACCCACGTCTCATATAGCAGCTAATAGGAAATAAACTTTTATAGGTCTATTTTTTAAAAGAACCTTAAATTTAATTCTATTTTGATAAAACTAAAACTGAAAATAGCCACTTGTAAAATTTCCTCTTATTGTTACTAAAAATGTATTTTCATGTTTAAACTGTTTTTTGGATATTTTCATATTAATTTATAACTGCTACATTGAATATTGATGTCCAGAAATAATACATTAAAAGACTTTTCACTTTAAATTAGTAATATTGAGTCCTTACCCTGTGCCTGGCCTTGTGCTAACCATTAGCATTGCAATATTTCAATCTTTTTCTTAAGTTTATCTTTATTTTTGAAAGTATTACAAATGTCCCCTTTTACCCCCACCCCGAATTCCCCCAGGCCTACAATATTGTCTGTGTCCGTAGGTTATACATATATGCATATAAGTTCTTTGGTTAATCTCTTCCTCCCCACCCCTCCCCACTTCCTTCTGAGATTCATCAGTCTGTTCCATGCCTCCAGGTCTCTGGATCTATTTTGTTTGTCAGTTTATTTTGTTCATTAGATTCCACATATAAGTGAGGTCATGTGATACTTGTCTGGCTAGCTTATTTCGCTTAGCATAATACCCTTCAGGTTCTTCCATGCTGTCTCAAAGGGTAAGAGACCCTTCTTTTCACAGCTGCATAGTATTCCATGGTATAAATGTACCACAGCTTTTTTTATCCACTCATCTACTGATGGCCACTTGGGCTGTTTCCAGATCTTAACTATTCTAAATTGTGCTGCTATGAACATAGGAATGCATACATTCTTTCTGATTAGTGTTTCGGGATTCTTAGGATATATTCCTAGAAGTGGAATGCAATTCTATTTTTAATTTTTTGGGAAACTCCATACTGTTTTCCATAGAGGCTGCACCAGTCTGCATTCCCACCAGCAGTGAACTAGGGTTCCCTTTTCTCCACATTTTGGCCAGCACTTGTTGTTTGTTGATTTATTGATGATAGCCATTCTGGCAGGTGCGAGGCAATACCTCATTGTTGTTTTAATTTGCATCTCTCTGATGGTTAGTGACTTTGAGCATGTTTTCATGTCTCTTGGCCTTCTGTAGGTCTTTGGAGAAGTGTCTATTTAGGTCCTTTTCCCATTTTTGAATTGGATTGTCTTCCTTTGTTAAGTTGTATGAGTTCCTTATATATTTTGGAAATTAAGCCTTATTGGATATATCATTGGCAAATAAGTTCTCCCATACAGTGGGCTCCTATTTCATTTTGTTGATGGTTTCTTTTGCTGTACGGAACCTTTTTATTTTGATGTAGTCCCATTTCTTTATTTTCTCCTTTGTTCTCCTTGCCCTAGGAGATGTATTGGCAAATATATTGCTACCAGAGATGTCTGAGATTTTGCTGCCTATGGTTTCTTCTAGGATTTTTATGTTTTCACGACTTACATTTAAGTCTTTTATCCATTTTGAGTTTATTCTTGTGTATGGTGTAAGTTGGTGGTCTAGTTTCATTTTTTTTGCATGTACCTGTCCAATTATCCCAACACCATTTATTGAAGAGACTGTCTGGACTCCATTGTATACTCTTGCCTCCTTTGTCAAATATTAATTGAGCGTAATGGCTTGGGTCAATTTCTGGGGTCTCTGTTCTGTTCCATTGATTTATATGCCAGTTCTTAGGGCAGTACCAGGCTGTTTTGATTACAATGGCTTTATAGTATAATTTGATACCCAGTATTGTGATCCTTCCTACTTTGTTTTTCTTTCTCAAGATTGCTGCAGCTATTCGGGGTCTTTTTTTGTTCCATATAAATTTTTGGAGTATTTGTTCTAGATCTGTGAAATATGCCATTGGTATTTTAATAGGGATTGTGTTGAATCTCTAGATTGCTTTGAGAAGTATGGATATTTTACTGATGTCTCCAATTCATGAACATGCTA